GTCTGCTCCCATAAAGATTTTCAGCCTTGGAAACACTATATAGAACTGTTATGAGTCAGAATTGACTCAGCGGCTGTGAGTTTGGTTTTCACTAACCCAAAGGTTGACTGTTCTGATCCACCCAGTAGCACCGTGGGAGAAAGGCGTGGTGACGTGCTTCATAAAGATGACAGCCACGAAAGCCCTTTGGGGCACAGTTCTAACACGAGGTTCCTATGAGCAGGAATCATCCTCATGGAAGCAGGTTCTAGGCTTGGCAGCCTAATGCAGTGTGGATATTTGTAGCTAGTACTTTAAACCACTGGAGCTACCAGGGAGACCAAGGACCCAGCTCTTGCATATCAGTGTAAATAGACTCTTGGGGTGGGTGGCCCATTATTTTACCCTGCACCCTAACCCATTCTTAGTGACCCTGCTTTCCTGCTTTATAGATGAGGAACGGAGGCACCTTGAGGTTAACAAACTTGTGGCAGGCGACCCTGGCCGTTACCCACTCCCAGGCTGCCTGCTGAGAACAGCGGAGACTTGGCACAGGATTGTCCCCAGGAGCACTGGGACCCACTGAGCATAACGTTGCTGGGTGAAAGGGTTGTCCCGGAGCCATCAGCCCTTCCGCAGCCCCCTGCCTCCGGAGGCTAGCTTCTTTGAAAGAGTGGCATCGCCCCTCTGCGTCTTGGCGAGGGAAGGATGGGCGGCTGGGCGGAAGGATGCACTAGGGAATACCAAGTAGTTACCGAGGCCCATGGCTGGCCCCTGGCTGGCCCTGCAAGAGGCAAGGGACTGGGCCGCCTTGGCTCTTGTCCTGGTGGTGCTTACGATGTCTTTGGGGAGACAAGTCAGACATCCGGGAGATGACTTCAAATCATGGGAGGGGGTGCCGAAAGGAAACAGGGAGTACAAAAGATGGGCACCACGAGGAATCACGCAGGGCCTGGATGATCGGTTCTGAATGGTCAGTGGAGCCAACTCCTGTTGCTCCTTAGCCTTTGGCCCAGTGACACTGGCTGTGTGGCCAGTGGGTTGGCTGCTTGCCATTCAGAAGGGCTTTGGGTTCAGTTTAAAGATGGCGAGGGTTTCCCCGTGCGTGCTGTGTAGCATGGTTTGCTGAGGAAGCCATGCTGTCTTTTCGGAAGAAGTTTCCAGCGCGATCGATGGTGTCTGCCTGTGGACTGCAAGCAGCCTCGGGAGTGGTGGTTGCCATGAGAACCTGTGCACAGGCGCCAGGGTGCCACACCGCAGCTAAGCAGCTGTTTCCAAAGTTGGGGGCTGCTGGAACCTCGGAGCCATTTCCCAATGGAAACTGTGTTCTAAACGATGGGTGACGTCCCCACAGGGGCCTGTTTCATTGGACTGTCAAGGGAGACGGGGCTCCTGATGCGAGAAGGGCCAGGAGGCTGGGACTCCTCTGAGTCAGACACATGTCATGCTTTCGTAGTCCCTTTATAGAGGGATCCTGTCAGAATGGTTCTCCAACCCGTTTTACACGCCAGGAAGAGCCACTCTCCCGAGTCCTGTGTCTGGCACAGACATTTTGTGGGGAAACTTTCAAGAGAACCTGGGGACTCAGAAAGGTTCACCACCTCACCCTTTCGGGGTTATGCGTGACCTGGCACAGCACCAGAACAGAAACACCAGCATTCTAGAAAGAGCTCTTTGAGGTTCAAAGTGTAACTAGAACAGAGTGGTATTTGTAAAATGTGGGCATACTGCAAGGATAATCAGAATGGAAAAATCAGAAAGGAAAAATGCGAGACAATTTATCTTCCATTTAGAAAACAATGCAGCGGGCATGTTGCAAAGCAACCAGGTCTCCTGACAGACAGAGTCAGAAACAGCGGTGCTCCCTTGAAAGGCGGCAGCTGCCGCAGCTCTTTGAATGGATGCTGCTCGCCACAGCCCCGCGAAGTGTCCAGGCGCCTGCGTCTCCGTTCCAGCGTGCTGACCTGTCATTTTCCCTTTTCTTATTACCATTCTGGCACACCCACAGCTCAGAGGTTCTGGTCTGTTCCGATCTCACTGTGTCGGCCAGCAATGGACCAGGTCAGAGCAAGCCTGGCTTCTCTAAGCGGAGAGGGCGGAGGTGGAGGAGGAAGGCAGATGGGGAAACATCACATCAGCAGTTTGCGCGTTAACCACCAACCAACTTTGCATTCTCCGGTGACTTTTCAGAGCCTGTGGTGACATACAGTTTTAAAAATCATCCTCTTTCTATCATGTGAAGCCGGCCTATGTAGAGGAATGTGGTGAGCTCCTGGCAGCTCCCCTCCCAACCACGGTGCCCTTTTACCAAGACATTATGTAGTCGGAATGTGGTTTGGTAGTGGAGAAGGTGAGGCTGGCAGACATCTATCAAGAGAAGGTCTGGCCTAGGCTTTTATGAACTGGTAGGTTCTCGGGATGCATTCTCCTGCCTCCCAACCCCTGCTTTTGCCCTGGGCTCGCAGCTCCTTCCAGAGGGCCCTGTGTGACTGGTTCTCATCTCGCTGTAGGTTCCAGTGTCTCTGTAGAGGGAAAGGAGACCGCCCGAGCGTCAGCCCTTTGCCAAGGGGTTGTTCCTTAGCCCTCTGCACAGTCAGGCCTGTTCTACGGCTAAGAGGTTGATTGTCTTTCAAAAACACCGCCTTTGCGCAAGCCGCTGCTCAGTCCCGGTGCTGTGGCAGGTTCTACGGATACTGATGGACAGGAGGCAGGCCCTGCCCTTGTGTGCAGGAATGAAGGTGTGGAAGATTCCGAGCATGATGGTGGCCCCACAGGGCTTGGAATTCGGAATGGAAGGGGGACTGCCAGTCTTGACCCATAAAGAGTGTGTGTCCCCTTGTCCTGGGGATGTTCAGAGGGCACAGTGTGACCTCAGGGTACTCTGAGAAAACACAAAGCTGGTTGAGATAGTGTGAGAGGTCACCACATGGGTGTGACTGCAGGGGGCAGCGGGGGCAGCTATGGTCCTTGAATGCCCAACGTACAGAGCTTGACCCATACGCTGTGGGCAGGCAGCATTAAGGTGGTTCACCAAGAAGAACCCAGTCTGGTTCCAGTGCTAACCACTCAGCCGCTTCTGTTCCCATGAGTCTTAGGTGGAAGGGAAGTCCAGCTCTGCTCCTGTGGACTTCTGGGAACCGGGGTGAAGGGTGGGGCTCGCTGACCATTTCCTGCCAGCGACCTCAGCAAGCAGAGAGCATATTTTTAGCAAGTCTCCAACGGCTTCTGCTGTGGGTGGTCTGAGCCCTCCCTCACAGGTTCCCTTCCTGTCCTGGCTCATATTTGCTAGTGTATCTCTTATCTTGTTTTCTTTTGAAAAGAAAGAGAGGAGATAACAGGTGTCCTTCCCATGCTCCTCTCTCTCTCTCTCTCTCTTAATATTTTGATTCATGTGACTTCCCACAGAGACGGAAGCTTTGGAAACAGCTTCTTTCCCATTCAAACACAGTTTGTCTCCACAGTCGGCCAAGGCAATGCTTCTATTGCTGGGAGACAAAGGAGAGCGAGCTGGCCCTGGCCCTCTGCCGCTCTTTGATGTCTCCTTCCAAGGCCCCTCTGCACCATTGTCTCGGTCGCGTATTCAGCTGGAGAGAGCCCAGCGTTGGCCTCCTCTTTGCAAGGGAGGGCAGGAGCCAGATGCTGGGGGCAGGGAGGGCGGGTGTGTGTGTGTGTGTGTGTCATGTCTCCAGGTGGCTTGAGCATTTTCATACTGGTCAGTGTTTCCAGGATACAGGCATAATCCATACTTGTTGTAGAGAACTAAAAAATCGAGACAAAGTTCTTGGAAATCTCATTCAGAAACAACCACCCATCAAGCCTCCATGCGTGGGTGTACTTTGGGATTTGGAATTCATAGGGTGGGAAACTTCATAGACCTGAAATCCGATGTGCTTGCTGTTTGATAGCTTGGTTTTTGTTTTTGTTTTGAGAACCAACAGTGTGTCAGGGACTCTCAGTCTGCTGAGTGGCTACATAGTATTCCATCCAGTGGATAAGCTGTTTTCCCCTCAGCATTTAGGTTACTTCCATTTTCAATCCATTCTTACTGCCTTTGCACACTTGTCTGGTTATCTTCTGAAAAGAAATCACCACACACC